CCTAAGAATTTCATTTCGCATAGGCGGGACGTAGCCAGTGACCCCAGGGGTCTTATAAACTCTACCTACCAAAGAGTCACGATATGCGGCACAATTATGATTTAAACATATATATATAGAATCCTAGAGGTAAAATGAATCGACTATGATTGAACAAAGGGTTGTTCAAACTATGCTCAATTATGATTAAAGATTAAAAATTTGTTCTTGTTCAAATCGTTTAGTTAACAAAAATTTCAAGCACGAGATACTTATCGAGCTGAACACGAGCTATTTGCAAGCAATAATTTTTTTTGACGCCCTATTCATTACTATCATATTGACTCCCTTTACAAATGCTAAACATTATATTTGTCATATTGTATTATAATCACTACTAGCTTTGCTTCTTTTATTAAAATTCATGGCTTTTTTACATCACATCATCATCACATGTGATAAACTCATAATTTTCAGACAATGTTCCATAGACATAATAATATAACTCAAAAAATGTATTTTTAGACATGAATTGATTTAGTATTCAACTCAAAGCATAAAAAAGTTTACTGCATATAATAAAATTGGGGGCACTATAGTGAGAGATTGTCTTAATTTTGTAAGAAAATTCATCACACATATACAAAGAAAAGGTTTCGCAGGAATCACAAAAAATTTATGTGAAAAATCTGATAAGAGAAAAAATCACAGGATTTGGCCGTGTTAAAATGATTTAACATAGGTATAATAAGTTTCAAATGATGTCATTCCTCATAATTGGGAGCGTATTGGTATAACATAATGGATGTGAACCATGTTGAATGGATTACATGATAGAAGTTATAGAATCCTAGAGGTATTAGAATTATCTTCAAGAGTCATATTATAAATTTTGATGATTGCTCTCTAATGAGGATAGGAGTTTATGGATCAATCTATGTAGTATAATCTTGTTTAGGTTTATCTGACTAAGTGCTTCAATATTATTGTTAAAGGTAGGCAACAAAGTTGGTGGATGTTGATATTGTTTTTGATGTGCTGCATGGATCCATATTTATATTGACCTAGTGGGTGATGGCATACGTCAACAATATGTATTGATGCTATAGCCAATAACAAATGATAAATGAAAACGGATGTCAACATGAATATCATTGACAAACTTTGGTATTGTAAGCATTGGTAGATTATGAAATCAATATGTGTTAGTGGCCAAAAGATTATTGTTGGTTAATGATGGTTAGGAGGTTGTAATTGTTTGTGTGTAATTTGATGACTATGGTCAATTGATTGTAAATGAGTGATGAATATGTGATGATTGTAGACAAGCAAAGATGGTCGGAAGACCGTAGTTTAGTGATGATGGTTGGGTGATTATAATCAAGTGATCGTAATAGTGATAGTCGCTCTATCATATTCGGACAATAGTGGTCAGGCGACCGTAGACACGCGAAGATGATCAATTTATTGTAGTTGGATATTGATAGATGGGTGAGTGTAGTATGGTGATGGAGGCCATTGTTTATAAATAGGTGAAGATAGTTTGGCGATTGTAGTAGGGCAGTCATAGAAGAGAGACAAAGATCATAAAATTGTAGTCGGTCACATGATCAAACACTTGTAGTCGAATGATAGCAATTGGGATACTGTATTTCTACAATTATGATTGAGCAACAATCCTTGGGCAATTTTAGATTGGTGAACATAGCTAGACAATCATGGTGGGGCAACCGTGGTCATGTGACTGTGGAGGTCAAGCAATAGAGATTGAGAGACGTTGGTCGGGCTACAGTAGTCTAGTTACAATAGTCAGGTAATGTTGGCTAGGTGATTGTAGTTTTGCGATTATGGTCGGGCAACCCCATTACACTATGGTGTTCAGACGATCATAGTTGTGTAATAATGAATGAAATGAAAACCATGATTAAAGGATGTTGGTCAGATAATCATTAGTGGGCAATGGAGGTATTGTGATCTTAGTAAGGCACCAGTGATTGGGTGATCTTAATCAGGTACCGGTGACTGACTGATTGTATTTAATCTTTAATAATTAGGTGATTGTAGTCTAGTATTAGTGATCGGGCAATCATAAGCGTACACCATAGGTTAGTAATTGTGGATGAGAGATTGTAGTCGAGCAAAGATGGTGATTTGACAATTATGGTCGGATGACAATGGTTCGACAATGATTGCTATCCAATGTTGGAGGTGATCTAAAGGTGGTGACTGAGTGATGATGGCCATAGAGCAATGAACAGACAACAATATTTTGCTGGCAATAATATTTTGATGGTGTAGATGAAGGCGATGATCCAAAGATTATGAACAACTAAAAGGACTTTGATAGTGCTAGTCAAATCACCATCACCCATTTATCATTATCCTTGACAACAGACAAAACTATATAAAACTCACACAATTGATGGAGTTTGATTATCATTAGAGAAAAGGTCGATCTACAAAATGTGAAGCAATCGAGACTCTGGGTGTTAAAAATTTAAGGGATAATTACATTAGCTATTTACACGATCTATGGTTCATGCGAAAATTTTGAACTGATATTTACACATGTGCAACATTCAAATAATTGAGAATTCAACAGAAATGAAAAAAATGAGTTGGGCTTTTATCATAGATTTTGTTATTTGAGTGTGAACTTGAAAAAAGGATGAAAATTAGCGTTAGAACTGCCCGAAATTTAAATGTTGTATAGATAAATATGAATATAAGAGTTTAAAGTTCGGATATGTAAATATATAAATATATATATAATTAAAATTTAAAAGCTTCGGAATCATAAGGTAAGAAAGTTATAATTAAAATATATTATAATAAAGTTTTAATGTTTTGTTTTTCATTCAAGTCCCCGGAAATGATGATGTATAATTCTTGAACTGTAAGAGAATTTTTTCTTTTTTTGTTATTCTTCGACCACTTTAAACAAATTATAATCATTTATCTTATTGAGGCAAAATTATTCTTTAGAAACATACATAAACACATGCACAGAATGAGATGAATTTGGAAAAATACTTGATTTTATTTTGATTTAAGGTCTATTGGAGAAAACACATGCACAGAATGAAATCCTCTTTACATTATAGCAGAGCTCGCCAATACTTGTGCTAATGACGAGAGGATCTTGGTGGGGGACTCGAACTCCTTCCGAATCGGAATCATCAAAAGTGATATGCTCGAGGTACAATTTCTTCTGCATTGGTTCGCCAGGTATAGTGATAGACTTGATGATCAAAATTATTACCTTGAGATTCGTGTCGGATGATGAAAATTTGTTGGTGGCATAGCAGATTTATTCGTTCGTGTTCGACTCGTTTTGACTCAAAATTATATATATAAATATATATATATATATATATATATATATAAATATATATAATTAACTACATGCTTATAAAGATTTATAATCAATTAAAATTATTAATTAATAATAAAAAAATTATTTAATTTTATTTAAATGATGTTTGAATATAAATAATAAGATTTGAATCTCGTCCCAACCCTTAATAGCTTACGACTGCATGATTAAGGTTGTGAAAACGATTGTTTGTTCACAAACAGCTCGTGTTCGACTCATTAAGCAAACGAGTTAAATACAAACACATTTTTTTTTTCAAAAAATAAACGAACTGAACACGTACAATAACTTTTTTTTCTTTAACGAATCAAACAAGAGCTGGTGTTCGTTTACACCCCTAGTTTCAAAAAGCTGACACGACAAGCTCTATTTTACGAAGAAACAATCTGACTTTTAAACATAAAATAAATACAGCTTCTTATGATTGTTGTTTATTTAAACAGCTGTAATTATGCTCTAAACAAAGCCTAAATTTTAATTGAGAAATTAATTTCTTATTACATCAATGACTTTATGTCAAGGGCCCTTATTCCATGCAGACAATGCACGCACGGAATAATCATGCTTCTTATGATTTTTGTTTATTTTGCGTGTGTTGTCCAATAAAAATTTAAAAATAAATAAATAAATAAAATGGTCCTATGTCAAATGAGAGAACAACGAAAATCACACATTCTTTAACTTATAAATTACTTTACCGTTCCTTCTTAGCAAAGTCACCTACTTCCCTACTTCTGTCCTCTGGATGAAAAAATATTATATCAAGAGTTTTTATGTAATTTTACCTCAGCACTCTTATGAAAAAATGAGCACTGTTTTGAAAAAAACAATAATAATAAAATGAAAAAACGAATCGAGAAAAATGCAAAAGAGAAGACACAGTGGAACGACACACAAATTTATGTGGTTCGACAAATTGATTACGTCCACGGAGTTGCAGAGTATTTTATTATTTCGAGGAATTACACCGTCGAACGCTTCGACTGTTTACAAGAAGGATCTCTAACTTACTAGCACAAGGATTACAAGCAGCTTTTTTTTGTTTTTTTTTCCTTGCACAAATCAGCCGAAGAGGAGTCGTCCATGGAAGCAGGTGGCAATGCATCTTCCCAGCCAACAAGCATTAAATAAAAAACCTTTCTATGCCCATTAAAGGCAAGGCCCAACTTTGGAAAATATCAAGGAGAAACGGGAGAATAATTCTTAAAAGAATTAGTGAAGTAATTAATTCAAATAACTTCCAAAAGAAAAACTGCGTACAAGAGATATTTGCGTGCATAAGATGTACGCAGCGCTGCGTACATCAGGGGTTATTCAGGGGGTACAATGGGGTTATATCTGGGTTATACCCCCTTGTAACCTCGATATAACCCAGATATAACTCCCTGTACCCCAGAATACACTCTGATGTACGCGCGTACATCTTATGCACGCAAATATTTCTCGAGCAAAAGTCTTCATACCTCTTGACCCTCTTCCTCTCCTTCACCGTCTCTCCTGCTTCTACCACTATCGGTGCCATGGCAGACTGGTTTGTTGGTCCAGTCATGGATAAGCTCATCAACGCTTGCTCTGATTACCTGCAAGATAACTATTTCAGAAGGCAGACAAACATCAGATGGCAGACAGGCATGAAGGAGGAGCCCGAAAGGCTGCGAGAGAACCACCCCAAGAACCGAGCTGTCGTCTTTGATTACACCCGAGCACAGATTACAGATCGCAACCCGGCTCTCAACAGATGGATATGGCAGCTACGAGATGCCATCGATGAGGCAGATGATGTTCTTGATGACTTTGAGTACATGAAGCTTGAAGAAGATCAACAGCAGCTGAACATGGAGGAAACAAAGGTGCGTTCTTCATTCTCTAAATTATTTTTGGAACCTGCTCGCAAGCTTCGTAGACTCTGCGAACAGGCTCTCAAAATAGATCCCAACTTGGAGAGGCTGGAGGCAGCTGTGAAGAAACTTGATAAAGTTTCAGCTGAGGTCACTACTTTCCTTCATCTCATCGAAAACGCAAAGCATGAGCAGCAGGAGCAGCAGCTTCAGTTGTACCAAGATCGTGAAACAGGATGCTTGCCTAAAAATGATCTCATCGGTCGTGGCGAGGAGAAGGATTTTGTTATGCAGTGGTTGAGGAAGCCAACAAATGAAGATCCAACTGATATTGCTAGCCCTACTTTGTACAAAAACATTTCTCTTCTATCCATAGTGGGTCATGGTGGCATGGGCAAGACAACTCTCTTACAACACATTTATGAAGATCTGAAAGAAGAATTTGAACTGAAAATGTGGGTTTGTGTTTCCAATGGCTTTGATGCAAAAAAGGTCATTGCCGATATGTTGGAATGTCTTAACAAGGAGAGGCGTCGTTTGGAGTCACTCGCTAGTGTTCAAGAGAGTCTTAAAGCTGTCGTGCAATCCAAAAGGTTCTTGCTTGTTCTGGATGACATTTGGGAGGAGGAAAATATGAGTAAATGGGAGAATGTATTCTCCCCTCTAGTTCACGGAAGTTTCGGAAGTAAAATTTTGCTGAATACCCGGATGGATTCAGTTGCATCGGCGATTGCAAATGTGATTAGAAAGAAGAAAGAAATTTTGATATTAAAGGGCTTGAAGGAAGATGTATGTTTAAAGCTACTCAACACCCATGCATTTGCTGGTGTAGAGAACCTTGCTGTTCATGCAAAATTAACAAACATTGCTAGCTTGATAGTTAAAAAACTTTTAGGATCTCCGTTGGCAGCGAAGGTAATCGGTGGTGTTCTCAATTCTAACTTGAATGAGATCTTTTGGACGAACATTTTAAATAGTACTAATGTTCTAAACGTAGAACCAGTACCGAGTTGCAATAACATCTTGGCTATCTTAAGATTGAGTTTTACATTCCTCCCACAACCTCTACAAAATTGTTTTGCATTTTGTGGCATATTCCCACAAGATCATGAGTTTGATAAAGCTGATTTAGTCCGAATGTGGATTGCATTGGGTTTCATTCAGGAGTCTTCTATTGAAGGAGAGACTTTGGAAGATATTGGAGGAAGGTATTTCGATGCTTTTGTCAGAAAATCTTTCTTTGACGAGTTTCAGGATTACCAGAGCATATACTATAAGATGCATGATTTATTACATGATTTGGCACTGTCTGTTTCTTCAGAAGAATGTTTTAGATTCGTGGGAGATAATGTTTCATCTTTTAAAATTCCTAAAAATGTTCGACACTTATTTGTTGAAACTGAAAATTCAGAACTTTTCAGAATGATCAAAGATGTTAAAAATCTACATTCACTTTTTCTTACCTATAGAACCGATGATCAAGGTTTTACTGAAATACTTACTGAATTTTTTAAGGCATCAAGAAGCATTCGTTTGTTGTTCATATGCTCTCCAAGGCAGAAAAAAATGTCTGAAACTATTGAAAACTTGAAACGTCTTCGATATTTGAATCTTGTACTAGGTCTCACTCAGATGCCAAGATCTCTAAGCAGTCTTTATCATTTGCGGTTCATAATCTATAAAGATTGGTGTAGGCAACATTGGTTTGATGATTTCTTGCCTGACGATGTGAGCAATCTTTCTAATCTGCGTCAATTGGATTTTCGTGGCTATGTGAGTGTACGTGGAATTGGGAAATTGAGGTCACTTCAAGAACTAAATGAGTTTAATATTAAGAATGAGAATGGTTATAGAATTGGGGAGTTGGAACATATGTGGAACATATGAGCGAGTTTGGAACATATGAGCGAGTTGCGCAAATTAAAAATAAATGGTCTGGAAAATGTGATCGATGCTGCAGAGTCTCTCAATGCAAAATTATGTGAAAAGAGAAAAATCACAGATTTATTCTTGAATTGGAAGTCAGACATGAGAGGTGGAAGCCTACGGAACTATGTCAATTCTGAGTTAGATGTGAATGTGCTTGAAAATCTTAAACCATACAAAAATCTAAAGAGATTGTCCATAGCTTCATACGAGGGTGCAAGAGCTGCAAAATGGATTTACAATGCCGATTTGATTTCCAATCTTGAGTACATCCGTCTGGACGAGTGTTTGGGGTGGGAAACTCTTCCACCTTTTGGGCAGCTTCCCCACCTCAAGTCGCTGTACCTTCGTAACATGCCAAAAGCAAAGCGGCTTGATTATAAATTCCATGGGAATGACAAGGTTTCTGTGTTTCCATCGTTGGAGGTGCTAAATATGGAGGGATTACAAGTATTGGAGGATTGGTTTGATGGAGCAGGAGCAGCAGCATATGACCGTTTCTTTCCTTGCTTAACTGAACTCTTCCTCACTGCCCAAACAAATCTGCAGGAGTTGCCCTATTTGCCTCCTAAGCTCAAGAAAATGAAGATACAAAACATCGGATGGAAGGCTGCTTCGATCTGCAAGCAAGAAACCAACAACTGCAAGCAAGAAACAGTTGAGGTCCTTTCGTGTCCAAACATCACATCTCTTCTTCTGGCTAAAGTAGGACTATTGAGAATTGAAGGTTGCCCCAATCTGATTTCTCTGGGTGGACTGCAACAAATGGAGAGTGGCATTGAGAAATTCCAGCTTATTGTCAGTGAAGTTGTTATAGATGACCCATCCTTGTTGCCAACGGAAACTATCGCCTCCTTGGAAATGCTCATAATTTGTAATAATTATGTGCTGCGGTCTCTCCCTTCCTCCTTGGAACGTCTCTCTTCACTAAAGATTCTACATGTCGAAAATGTTCCGCTGCTCCAGCAGCTTCTACACATCGCCGCCCCCCTGAAGTCCGCCATCTCATCCCTCAATCGTCTACATTTATATAGAATTCCACTCCTCAAATCATTGCCAGACCTCCCTTCCTCCTTGAAGTCACTGTTTCTACATGACCTTGATAACCTACAGTGCCTGCCATTTTCTTTGTCGGCCATCTCGTCCCTCAACCGTCTATCTTTACAAAGCATTCCACTCCTTAAATCATTGCCAGACCTCCCTTCCTCCTTGGAATTTCTGACTATAGAAAGTCTTGATAACCTAGAGTGCCTGCCAACCTCTTTGTCGGCCATCTCATCCCTCAAGCAGCTAATTTTACATAGCATTCCACTCCTCAAATCATTGCCAGACCTCCCTTCCTCCTTGGAATTTCTGACTATAGAAAGTTTTGATAACCTAGAGTGCCTGCCATCTTCTTTGTACGCCATCTCATCCCTTAAGGAACTACGGTTAGCATTCATTCCACTCCTCAAATCATTGCCAGACCTCCCTTCCTCCTTGAAAGATCTGAATATAAATATTCTTAGTAACCTAGAGTGCCTGCCATCTTCTTTGTCGGCCATCTCATCCCTCAACCAACTAGATTTATATAGCATTCCACTCCTCAAATCATTGCCAGACCTCCCTTCCTCCTTGTATTCAATAACAGTACAAAATTGTCATCCAGAGTTTAGGGAGCGTTATACAAAATTTTCAGGCTCTGATTGGCACAAGATCGCACGCATTCCTCGTGTCCGTATTGATTAATTGGCGTCGTTCCAAATCAATCTCTTCCCATCAAAATGTGAATATGTGAGGTGAGGACTTGTTTTTTACCTGTATTCATGTCATCCTATGCTATCCACAAACTTATCATCCTATGACTGATTTTGATGAACAATTATTTGGTCTTAGAAATTTCGAATTTTGTACTTCAATACCACAAGTGTGATTTAGCGTTTTATTTAATTACTTCGCACATTTTATTTTATTTTGTTTGATCTCCCTAACTTTATCAGGCTTAGGATTAATTACAATTTAAATCACACAGCGGGATAACATGATCGTACAAATTCAAGCAAACTGGAACAAAAAATAAACATAAAACACAATTAATCAACTAGAAAAACATAAAAGGATATTACGAGGAAAAACCTTAGAATATGAAAAAAATCACGGTCACAGTGTCACACTACCAGAAATTTCACTATGAAATTCAGAAAGTTTTTACAGAGAACACATGTCAGTTTTCTATCTACACATAAGGAAACTTGCAAGTCACGCTCTATACACTTCTTCCACCAATCCAACGCAAGAATGATGCCGAATTACATAAATCCATCTCTTCGACCTTTCTCACCTTCATCGTATGTTTGTCGAAGAAGTTCAGAAGAAATTCTAAAATCTACACATACGCCGCCCAAAATCAGCACTTAAAACTGAATATCCGTGTAAACCTGCCCCTAGCGTCCACTCCTTGTGATGAAGCACGGTACGAAGCAATCTACGAAGCAACACAGTATCTTACTCATTCTTGATAGGGGTGTCATGCATTCTTTGGTTCAAACAAAAAAAAAATGAACAAAGGGGTTGTTCAAATTAATTAGATATATATATATATATATATATGCCACTTTAACTATGCTTGAAAAAAGGCATGTTGCACCTTTTAGGAGTTGCAATGCTGATAATTGAATGGTATAAATGTAAAAAAGGCAAAGTTAGATTTTAGATATGTAAATTCATATGAATTGTGTGTTATATATGTCAAATTCTTCTTCAAAACAAAAGATTTTAAGCCTATGATTGAGATCCGAGTAAGCCAATTAATATGGTAAATAGTTGGAAAACATATATGATCAAAAATTGGTGCTCTAACATTTCTACATGGCAATATTGTTTGTTTGTTGGATATTCTAATTAAATATTGAGGATTATGCATTTTATAATAATTTAATTTATTTTAAATTAAATGTAAATAAAAATCTATTTATTAATATTTTATTAAACTAATCTAAAATCAATTTCATTAGCTGCACATGTAACATAATAATCATTTTTATAAAAGTACTCCGACCCATTACAGATTTCCAAAATGATATCAACCAAATATTTTGCAAGACTAATGCCTCGAATATTTCACCTCATAGAACATTGAATAAAATTGCCAAAACACCTTTAATAAAAATAAGGTAATTTTACATACACACCACACAATTCTTATGTATTTACGTATATAACACCTAAAGTTTGATGTTTACATTTATAGCACCATGATGTTGCAAATATATGCATGAAAAGATCCATTTCATTTTTAAAAAAATTAGTGAAGGTGATACACTGATACTTTTGATGTAGTGTTAAAAATTTGAGTGGTATTCGGGTAAATATGAAAGGTTAGGTGCTAAAAATGACTTTCATATCATCATGTCCGTCTTATCGAGCAGATCAATTTGACTGTAAGTTTGCTGAAATCGGAGCTCTGAAAGACTTTTAATTGATGTTTAAATGTTTTTTCGTTCAAAAGATTGCTTCGAGATTCGTGTCGGATTATGACAATTTGTTGGTGGCGTATCACTCTTTATGGTTTAATGGGCAAAAAATTTTTATGTTTGTTGCAAAGGTCGTGTTTATGAATCTTTTATTTTTTTAATTTTCTCATTTTTTTTCTTAGCTATCTATTTTATTTTTCTTTATAAAATAACTAAAATTATTTATATGATTTTCTTATTTTAATTTATGAAAAACATTAATTCAGTTTTTAATACTTATAAGTATTGATATGCCATTCATAAAATTACATCATATGTCTTAAATCTCTAGGCATAACAATCGCAAGCCAATTTTCTGAGCAAAAAAAATATTCAAACTTTGATTAAGAGCCATTTGGAGCTCTAATTTCAACAAACTTATAGTTAAACTAACCGGCTCGACGAGATAGACTGAATGATACCAAAATTAGTTCAATCCGAGCCAAATCAATATCTGATCAAGCTCTTAAAACACTTTTAAAACTATTTTGGGCATCTTTGGATGGTCAAGTGAAAGTCGAACCTGACGAGTTCATAGTCGAATCGAGCGTCTCGACAAGACAAATGCAATGAGCCCAAGACTGCTCAATTATGATATTATTAAAACACTCTAATGTTCATTGAAGGCCCTATTATCAAAAAAATCAAAATTAATTTTGATTAATTAAACTTAATTTTGATTAAAGATTTCTTAATTATTATTGTTTGTTTTATGAAAGTAATTAAATAATATAAATTTAAATCATATTTATGAAAGTAATTAAAAAATATAAATTTAAATCATAAACTATATTAAGTTGTTTGAATTAATAGTTTTTTAGTTCTATAATATTCATAATCTAAAACACTGCTCTTTAATTTATTACACTGTAGAAATCACAACTTTAACATACCAGATACTTAAACGCCATCCCATCCATCCTCCGTCACACATCCATTATAGCAAGCCACTACTGCATCAATGTCAACAAGAGTCAACAGGAAACACGGTGGAAATCACATCTTCTTTATCGTCTGAGGAATCCCCTCCATCGCCCACCAGACGTCCTTCATATCAAAGCCACCTACTTCCGTCCTCTCCTCTTCCTCTCTTCCACCGTCTCTCCTCCACTTAACCTTGATCTGTGCCATGGCAGACTGGTTTGTTGGCCCAATCATGGATAAGATCATCAATGCTTGCTCTGTTTACCTGCGAGATCAATATAGATGGCAGACGGGCATGAAGGAGGAGCTCGAAAGGCTGCGAGAAAACCACCCAAAGGTCAAAGCTGTCGTCTCTGCTTCCACCCAAGCACAGATCAGAGATCGAAACCCAGCACTCAACAGCTGGATATGGCAGCTACGAGATGCCATCGATGAGGCAGATGATGTTCTTGATGACTTTGAATACATGAAGCTTGAAGAAGAACAACAGGAGCTGAAAATGGAGGAAACAAAGGTGCGTTCTTCATTCACTAGCTTATTTTCGGAACCTGCTCGCAAACTTCGCAGACTCTGCGAAAGAGCTCTAAAAAAGGATCCCAACTTGGAGAGACTGGAGGCAGTTGTGAAGAAACTTGATAAAGTTTCAGCTGAGGTCAGTACTTTCCTTCATCTCATCGAAAACGCAAAGCAGGAGCAGCAGGAGCTGGACCTTCAGTTGTGCAAAGATCGTGAAACAGGATTCTTGCCTAAAAATGATCTCATCGGTCGAGGCGAGGAGAAGGAATTTGTTATGCGGTGGTTGAGAAAGCCAACAAATGAAGATCCAACTCATATTGCTAGCCCTACTTTGTACAAAAACATTTCTCTTTTATCCATAGTGGGTCATGGTGGCATGGGCAAGACAACACTCTTACAACACATCTATGAAGATCTGAAAGAAGAATTTGAGCTGAAAATGTGGGTTTGTGTTTCCAACGACTTTGATGCAAAAAAGATCAATGCCGATATGTTGGAATGTCTTAAAGAGGATAGGCCTCGTTTGGAGTCACTCGCTGCTGTTCAAGGGAGTCTTAAAGCTGTCGTGCAATCCAAAAGGTTCTTGCTTGTTCTGGATGACATTTGGGAGGAGGAAAATAAGAGCAAATGGGAGAATGTACTCTCCCCTCTAGTTCACGGAAGTTTGGGAAGTAAAATTTTGCTGAGTACCCGGATGGATTCAGTTGCATCGGCGATTGCAAATGTGATTAGAAAGAAGAAAGAAATTTTGATATTAAAGGGCTTGGAGGAAAATGTATGTTTGAAACTACTCAACACCCATGCATTTGCTTGTGTAGAGAACCTTTGCGCTCATAAAAAACTAACACATATTGCTAGTTTGATAGTTAAAAAGCTTTCAGGATCTCCTTTGGCAGCAAAGGTCATCGGTGGTGTTCTCAATTCTAACTTGAATGAGAGCTTTTGGATGAGCATTTTAAATAGTCCAGATGTTATAAACATAGAACCAGAACCGGATCGTAATGACATTTTGCCTACCTTAAGATTGAGTTTTACGTTCCTCCCGCAAGTTCTACGAAATTGTTTTGCATTTTGTGGCATATTCCCACAAGATCATGAGTTTGATAAAGATGATTTAGTCCGAATGTGGATTGCATTGGGTTTCATTCAGGAATGAGAAACTTTGGAAGATATTGGAGGAAGGTATTTTGATGTTTTGGTCAGAAAATCTTTCTTTGATGAGTTTCAGAATTATGACAAAATATACTATAAGATGCATGATTTATTACATGATTTAGCACAGTCTACTTCTTCATTGGAATGTTTCAGATTTGTGGGAGATAATGTTTCATCTTTTAAAATTCCTAAAAATGTTCGACACTTATTTGTTGAAACTAAAAATCTAGAAGTGCTGAGGATGATAAAAAATGTTAAAAATCTACATTCACTTTTCCTTACCAATAAATTCAGTGATCAAAGTTTTACTGAAGTATATACTGAAATTTTTAAGGCATCAAGAAGCATTCGTTTGTTGTTCATAGACTCTCCATATCAGGAAAAGATGTCTGAGGCTATTAAAAATTTGAGACATCTTCGATATTTGAAGCTTGCTGCAAATCTCACTCAGATGCCAAGATCTCTAAGCAGCCTTTATCATTTGCGGTTCATAATCTATGAAGATGTGTTTAGGGAATCTTGCTCTGATGATTTCTTGCCTGGCGGTGTGAGTAATTTTTCTAATCTGCTTCACTTTGAATTGCCTTGCTATGTGAGTGTACCTGAAATTGGGAGATTAAGGTCACTTCAAGAACTAAATCAGTTTAATGTTAAGAATGAGAATGGTTATAGAATTGGGGAGTTGGAACATATGAGCGAGTTGCGCAAATTAAAAATACATTTTCTGGAAAATGTGAAGGATGCTGGAGAGGCTCAGACTGCAAGATTATTTGAGAAGAGAAAACTCACATATCTATTCTTGAATTGGGGCAATACTGTTGTTGATGATGAATGGAAATTAGACAGGG